TGGCGGCCTTGACTACGCCGTTCAAGTTGCTGTTGTTCAGACGCCCGATGTTGCTATTGGCGCTATGGAGGACTTGATGCAGGGGCGCCTGTCCAGCACATGTCCTTCCGATCGGGCCTCCCCGCCCCACACTCTTCCTCCTACGGCTCATAACGGAAGTCTGTGTGCTGGACGGAGGATATTTGGAGCCTTACGCGTGCACTTTCGAGGCGCATAAGGGAATCGAGCGTCCGATGCTTGTCGACCTGTGCACGGGCGACGTCTGTGATTTGACCCGTTACGTTTCTATGCATGTGCCGCAGGCGAGGATCATAAGTTGTCAGATGACGTTGGCCATACAGAGTAGAGGACGGTTGCTTGAGTCATCGCACGTTCCCGTAAGAGGTGGAGATCGGAGCACTGTGTCCACACACGATGGTACTTTGGTCTGAAAGTCGTAGACGATGTTGTATTCCAGACATACTTACTCAGAATGATAGTCGAGACTCAGGGTCCCCTACGTGGCGAGATCAGTGAGACATGCCAGTAACATGTTTTGGCAGAGCGCTACGCCTCTCGATCCGAGGCGGCGCGTATTACGGTGGAGTACGTCTTGTTGAAGCCGCATTGTCTTATTCTCTCCGGCACTCTCAGAAGGTTTGTTCATCTCAAATCTTGTTCAAATACACGGACAGCGTTCGACGTTTGGTTCTGTACAAGGTCGAACGAACATGGTCACATGATGGCAACACAGGTTGGATACGTATATACACCGCGTCTTGGAGATAGGACGAAGTGTTGTTGTAACGTACATATCGTAACCCACGGAAGACTATGAGCGCTAACTGGGAAGTGAGATATACGAGTTCGCAGGAAGGCTTCGGTCGAAGGGTAACCGTACACATGGCATCACGCGGCGTCTCGCGGCGGCGGCCGGCCACGTCAAACCACAACCTCCCGTCCAACTTGTCACTCACCACCAAACATGGTAGGCTCACGTGAGCCCCTCGTCTGACGCCAGAGGGGCTCAGCTAGAGGTCGGCTAATAAGAGGTGGTCGCGACGGGCATCCGTGGAGGGTACATGAGATCTCTGGCTGAGACCCTCCTGCTGATAGATGGAGATCTCATGTGAGACTACCAATCATACAGCTTCTCGCAGCCTCCTATCGCTTCTATCTGAGTGAGAAAGCTAACACGTGTCCGACAAACTACCGTCAAAGTCTCTCAAGGAGCCAGGCTTACACTTCGCTCTCTCCTCCCACCGACAGCGCTCATAATGGTGCCTCCACCCTTCACTAAGGTCACCTCCACGAATGCCGACAATCCGGAGACTGCACTGCCCGATCATACTCTCGCTGGCTCTAATTCTACTCCGCAATGTCTGAAAGACTTTGGATTCATGCGCCGCCGCGCTAGTTGCGCCTTCATGCAGGCCAAGCCCCTGTACAGGAGTCTAGCGAAGGAGTTACGAGGAATGTTTCTTGGCCCGATGCTGCTCGAGGAGTTTCTAGATACATGCCTGCCCTGCAGACAGGACCGTACCTGTCTCAATACTGTCATCAGCGTGAGCGAAGCCGACTTCAAGCTCAAGAAGCGTGCCCGTGGCGAGACCTCGGAGGACACGATTGTAAGTCACTCGTCGGTCTTCGGATTCCTCTCACCTGAGCTGACTTTGCTAGTGTGACGCTATCAATAATGCGAAGGTTCTGCGCAATTTACATCTCCAGAACACGTCCGACGCGACGCTCTCGATGCTCGATTCCCTCCCTGAGAGTGAAAGGGCTAATCGCAAGATCGACAACACCTTCTTGCTTCGCAAGAACGGTCTCATACCCCCGCCGTCCTTCGAAGAGCTTCGTCTCCCCATTGAACTCAAGCCCTTTGAAGTCGACATCGTCGCAGACCTGGACGGGAAGTCGCCTGAAGACCGCAAGCAGCACGGCTTCGACCATCAGACCGCAGACGCGCTTAAAGCGCGCGGTCAACTCGTGCGCTACAAACCTAATGACTATGCGGCTTACGCGTGAGGATGTCGGTGTTGGACGTGCTTGCGGGCATCATACATACAATAGCGTCGACTGTGTTGCTCGACAGAGCAAGGAGATCATACCCGCCGAAGATCCGCATACCTCCCGCCCACAGCTATACGCCTGCGTCGCGTTACACAGCCTCGCAGGCGAACCGGCACATGGCCTGCTCGATAGTCGTGGCTCCTCGTTGCTCAGTGCGTGCTCTTAGCAACTCCCAGCGAAGGACCGGCACGGAGGTGGGTGGGTCGCCAGCCTGCCATCGCACTTTCTACGAGATGCGCTCGACGCACTCCACCATAGTGATTGGAATATCGCCGCTACGACTTTGAATACTCTCTGTCCTTTCTTCTCCACTCCACTTTTCCCCGTCTTTTTCTCACCTGTCATCTACACCCTATCATGCACGGCATAGTCGCCTCCTGATGAGGACGTTCTGTTTCTCCTTCATTGATGTCCGAACATGTATCATTGCCGGATTGTAATATCTGAATGATAATGGGGACTGTGTACGATACGTCTTTCTCTGACTCGCCATTCAAACGTGTTCGCTCTTTCTTTCCTTACACAGTTCATCGATCTCTGTACCTTTCCCTGTAGGCACACGCCTTCGAATACACTGCGTCTCTACTGCTGTCATCCAAAGCAGGGTCCCCGCATCGCAGTCCGCCGTGAGACTATATCGCTTTCGGTTATCACGCCCCGCGAACTGTCCGTGCTCGTTTTGAAGACTTGTTCAAACGTCAAAAGCCATCTGCCCAATCCCACCCACAAGCTCTGTCAGATCTCTATGACGTATGGCGTACACCTAGAACTACATTTGCAGTGATATGCCATCATGATTTCGCTTTCCCACTTCGCTCTGATCAATGGTAGTTTGCATGACGATACAAGTATACCACCTAACAGGTGTCATGAGACTACACGCTTATCTTCATACATACGCGCTAAGAAGCCATGAAGATCGACCCGTTCCTGTTCTTCGAGGGCTCGGGCGTGCCGGTAGACTTGCGCTGCGCCGGGATTCCCGCCGCCACCACGGCCACTGCATTCTTTCGTATTCGATCTCCAGGATTTGCTCGCTGACTGTATGTTCCAGCATCCTCGTCGCGCTCGTAGCCTGGTCGACATTGAGCTGGGTCAGCACGTCGAGAAGCGCACTCGACAATGACATGATCAGCGCGGGTGCGGATGTCGGCCGACCACCGCGCATCGCGTCAATGATCGCGAGCACCGCCCGACACGAGCCCGCTGCGTCCACCATCAACCCTGGCAATCTTCGTTCGTCTTCGGATCCCAGTCCATTGACCTAGCAAATCGCGCATTTCACATCGGCAAAACGGCCGCCTCGAATTGTCCCCCTTAGACACAACCGCCCTTTTCGAGCGGCCGACCATTCACGAGTCTTTGGAACAGTAAGCGAGCTTAGTATCTCCTTCGCACCTGGTGGTGCCGGGATGCCAACGGAAAGTCCAAGTCCAGGGATTGGCAGGCGATCAGTCCATGTGCAGCTGGTATACCGTTCTTGCCCGACTTGCTGTCGCCCTGGTATTTCACAGCAAGTACCGGAGTAATGTCCTCAATAACGGATTGATCATGGAAGCCGAGGAGTATTGAAGACTTTCAGAACTTCATAGAGCTGCGACACCGTCCTCTTGAGTGGTGGCGTGCTCTCCGAGGCACAGGACAACCCGTTGAAGTCCTTGTCAACGCGTCAATGGAGGTACTCCGAGACGGTGACGCCACTGTGATCAAAGCGAAGTAGACGAGCCCGGCGCCCAGTAGTAGAGTCAATGTTACGCGCGCGACTGAGCAATGAATCCGTTGCGGAGCCTAAGACGTTGTTTGGCCGCACGGGTGTATCACATGCGTCGTCTGATGCGTGCATACCTTAGTGAAGGCAGACATGTCAGTGCGCCGTCATCACATATGTTGAAGGACTTCCTGCCTGGCCTTTCCGTTGAATAGTTGCCCGTTGATGATCTGCATCGTCACTAAAGTCCGGCTCCAGCTGAAGGATTGACGGGCACCTTCATGTAATACCGCTCGTATCGGTGCCAGGAGTGGATCGATCAGACCCACTGCATAGCGATTGCCGTGTGTGGCTGGAAATACACAGGCAACCCGAGTCTCAGGATCATGGTGGCGCAAGCGCCGCGCCCGACCTGATCCATCCGCTAGCACGAGCCCCTTACACGGCGGTGGCCACAGGTCCTAACTCTAGAGAGGTTTGGGAGCTGGTATATCACGAGAGCCTACTGACGAAGGTATTGTTTCAGTAGCAGGTTATGCGTGAATGCGACCATCGCATACCAGGTACGATCCCCTCTTCTCCTCTATGCAGCCGTCTGCTCATGGTTCTCCGCATAGCCACGGCAGACGAAGGGCTCGGATTTCATACTGTTCAAGTACTCCAGGTAATATGATTGCACATTTCAGCTGTGCTACCGACAAGGGGGCTGATGCTCGGCGCTAGAGTGAAGAGTGGACAGGCCCGACCCGCCGTGAAGGTAAGGTAATCGCCAGGCTTGATTGTTCGTACTGCCAGGGTGCCATACATGGTAGCAAGATTAGCAAAAGCGGGGAGATGATGAGGAAATCTCATGAGGAGGGGTCGAAGACGAAAGTAGGCGCTTAGCGTCGATTGACACTTGGTTGGCTTCGGCCGTGACTTCGCACGATACCTCCACGTCTTCCCGACCTTCTTCCGACTGTGGTGTTGCCAGTTTAGAGATTGAACTTTCGCCAGGTGATCAGTATCATAGTGACCCTGCTATGCATCTCCCTCACGACTGTGCCGATGATCAATTCCACCGCTATCGCTATAATTGCTATCTTCACTGGCATCGCTTCCAGTATCTTTGTGCCGCAGCTCAACTTCCCTGCTTCCCGCCATGCTGTAAGCAGCTAATGTGTATACCACGTCGGAACTGCGTGCTATTCATTAATCAAGGCAGACTATGCATGATTCCCCATCAAGTCCTTCGCCCGGACTTCTTCGGGGCCTGTGTGCTATCATTCCGCGCTCTCGGCTTCTCCGGCGCGGCTTCTCCCTTTTGCTTCTTACCGGTACCCCTCTTCTGCTGTTCAACTAGTGCGTCATATCTCTCCGCAAACTTGATGTCTGCGCGCCCACCCACGGTCCTAGAGTGATCGTCAAGTCTCAGCCACATTTTGTCGCCATTTTCTTACCTCTTCGGCCTTCCGCCACTCTCTCGCCCCATCCCCCCCGCAACTAGTTCTCCTGCGATACCTTTGACTAAGTTTCCCGGAACTTCAGCGTCGGATGGCCGAGACGTTTCAGCCGCTGTCGACGCGCGAACCTGTCGTGTTCGTACGTCAAACACGAGCGCCATATCGGAAGCCAATGTCTCCCAGTCATGCGCTGTGGTTCCGTCCTGTATGCCCTTCAGATTGTCTGCCCAAATCATTAGCCCCAAGATGAACAGGCGTGCTCCTCTTTTCCCGCCAAGCACCGCTTCTCCCCAGTCCATGTTCGCACATGGCGCAGCGCGAATGAAGTGTCCTTTCAAACGCTCTACTGGTTGTAGGAGACGCCATTGTTCACACAAGGCCGCTCCTATGTTCCAGTCTGCAAGCTTCGCATCACGCGTTGAACTGTTCCGTTGCCCCAGATCCGGCCATGCGGCCGTGTAGTGCGGGCCTTGGAGTTTACTGAGATAGACCGGTCTGATCCCGATGCGTTCGCCGTGCAATTCAAACGCAGACCAGCCATGACAAGACGTGGATGCGGGGGGCTGAGCATCGAATATCAGTATGAGGGATACTGGGGATCCTTTGAGATTAACTCACAGATTTTGCCAGTTCGAAATTTAGGTACTTCTCGAGCACGTTTTTGAGGACGGCACGGGATACTGACCATCCACTGGATTCGTATCTTTCAGGGATTTCCAGAATATAGTTCGACCACGACGCAAATCGACCTCTCGACCCGAAATGAGAGGTTTCATCAGCCTCGTCGCGGACCAAGTCATCCACCAGTTGACGCAGTACGGCTGACAAATCACCCCTCTACGGAGAACAAGTCAGCATTGAACTTCTTCATCAATCCTATACCTACCTGATTCGTTTCAGGAGCACATTGGCCACATGGATCATAATCCGCGCCGAAGATCTTGATGTGCATGCTCTATTTTCTGTCAGCCACAGGTATCACGTCATTCGCAGAGGTGAGCATACATCGCCGACACCGTCGTCACCATCTGAACGGCCATTATCATGGTGGTCGGGGCTACTCAAAACATCGCCGTTGCCTCGTGTACCGTGCAACTGGTCCGACCGCAGCGATCCAGAGTCGGGCGGCGAGCAAGGCGGAGCGGGCAGAGCCATCTTGAGCGGTTCTCGCGTGTCGTCTGTACTCTTCTCGCCGATGGAGCGAACGTTGGTAAGAGCGCCAGCATCGTCGAACCTGGAGGTTTGAGCGATGGCACTCTTCGCGGACGCCTGTCTTCGGGCGGTAGGGCGCGGCTTTGGCTTAGCCTTCTCCTTGGGCAACGGCTTCTCTACACGAGTATCTTCGCCACCCAACTCGCCGGCGCCACATACATCCATGATAGGCTCCTCATGCCGCCGATCATCCTCGCCCCACTGTGCAACTTCTCTTGCCTGCTCTCTACCCTCCAAGCTACTCTGCGTCTGGCTCGTATTGGTCCCAAAGACGTCGACGGGAAGGTCTAGCGATAGAGAGATATCCAGCGCCGAATGAGAGACGAACGTGTCTTTTGGCAGCTGATCGGCATTGTCAGCATTGGCTCTGCGTTGCGTCGAAGCTTCCTGGACTGCTGTCGTATTATCGTTGGACATCATTGCCGGCGGAGTGGTAAGGGCTTCTGGGCTGTGCGCCTCTCCAGTACCCTCACGCGTTACTGGCTCATTTCTATAGTCCGAAAGGCGCAGATCCCACTTTGTCTCTGAGCGATGTTGTTAGCTATCGCCTCGCATGCTCATCACGACCACAGGCTTACCGGTAACAAGGCAGGCCTGTGTGTGTATGCGTTCAGACACCGCATGTATTACGTGCCGTTCTTCCCCGAGTTCGCTGTACTTGACCTTAGGCTTGCCCGCAATGTTACATACACCCTCGGATCTAATCATGCATCAATGGTGTTCTCGGATTACTCAAATATCGACTCACACCATGACCTTCCCCGCGCCAGCTAGGATCATGACGGCCATGCCGCCGCAGTGATCCGCAAAGAATTCCATGAGATCCTCCAAAAAGTCCTTGGACGCTGACATGAATCTACAGGAGCGCGTCTCAATTGATGACCTACGTGAACCAAGGAAACAACAGGCTCACTTTATGGCGTCTTCCAGAGTCTTGGGCGCCGCGAGATCCTCCTTCCACTTCTTCGTTTCCTTGGCCAATATGTCTTTCGCCTTCTCCATCGTCTGCTCCTTTTCTTCCTCACTGGCAGATCTATACCAGTCGGCCGCCACTGTATTCCACACGCCGATACGCTTGTATTCGGGGTCGCCCTTCTGCTCCCTCACTGCGGGCAACAAACGATCGATCTCCGCATCGAGATCCGGGCGCGGCTTCGAATTCGCCCATACTTTGTAAAGCTGTTTCATAGACGGTTTCTCCCAGTACTTCAGAAGAAGCTTCGAGATGTCGGCCCCACGTTCCTTGACGGCCTTAGCCTTTCGCTTAGAGTCGGGGAAGTTTGTCTGGAACCGAGCGAGCATTATCTAGAAACCGTCAGCCGCAGTGAGCTTGAATGAGCGCCATCAATGAGACGCTCACCGTGCGAACATGTCGGACTAGTTCATCTCGTCTCTTCTGCTCTTCGTCTGGACATCCTCGTTTGACGGCTCGAGAGGCTTCCTTCGCTGACGCTTCGTAGACACTGATCGTGTCCTGATCCGGCTCTGCGACACCTGGTGGCACGTCGCGTTCGGGGTTCTCCCATCCGAACTTCGCAAAGAAACGAACGGTCTCCTTGTTCATGAACTTCGTCATCTCCTGCTGGTTACCCGGCTTGGTCCAGCGCAGCGTATTGTAAGCGTGCTGCCGACCATCGACGCTCACGCGCTGCACAGCGCCGAAGGAGTGCGGTCTCCCGACAGGGTTAGCAATCTGAACGGGTAGTTCGGACTGGAGAGACAATGACTGGAGAGACGTTGAGATGGAGTCTGCAGTAGCATTTAGTCCAGACTGGAGAGACATCGGAATGATAATGCCGGTCTGCAAAGATGAGGAGAGTCGCCTGAGATGGGGAGCGGGAGGAATGCGACTGAAACGCAAGCAAGCGAGTGGAAGTATTTCTTCCCTCCGTGATGCCGCGCTCGCGAACCCTCCGTCCCGCCGGACACGTTTTCATCTCATCTCCTACATTTGTATAGGCTTGGTCCGTCGGAATCTACGGATTAGTGTTGCTGTCGCTCGACTAAGAGGATGATTGCACTGAGCCTTTAAAAGCTCTGTTCATATGGTATATGGCGGCCTCATTACTAGCACCACGCCGCCAAGATTCTTGAGCTTGTATGGACGATGATACTCAACGCCCTCTCCCGGACGCTTTTTAGCTAATCGCGGTATCTGGTGAGGGGGAGTACCATCTCGTCTATCTCCTCCAGCTCTACAGCCACACGCACCGGTTTCGTTTCCCGCAGCAGGCTATACCGCCGCTTCGACTGAGACCCTACTTTGATCACAGCTCAGATACGAATGCTCATGGAAAGATAACATGACATGGGCTCGAAAGCGCTGCAGGAATGCGTCAGCGAGGGGCAAATGGACACATCTCGAAGGCAAAAGGGAAGGTTGGAGAGCTGAAGACGAAGACGCCGCGAGAGGAGTCGCGCGTGAGAGCTTGGTTAGGGTTGATAGCACGAGACTATCAGCCAAAGTAGCCCGGCGCTGGGAAAGCCAAACGCTTTCCTTAGGCATCGACAACCCCGCCGTATTCATAAGATGGGAGTTCTTGTAGGACTTATGTAGGACTAGAAAGAGTATACATGAGTATTCGGTGCAATGGCTAAGAATACAGAGGTCTCGAGACAGAGATAGGATGGATACGAATACGTATGACATCCGTTTCAAGAGATGAGAACGAGAGTTCATCTGGATAGTCTTTCGCAGGTGCAGTTGATGTGTTCTTGATCGCCGAAGTGAATGCATGAAACACATGCACACGAGTTGAGAGCGCCGTATCGTGGTGCAAGCTGTCGCGCAGCTGTGGAGCGCCAGCCCGTGACGAAGCGGGGCACCCGAGTGGTCACCATATCCCGGAGCATTAGAGATGCGACGGCATAGGAAAGGAGCGATGCTGGCGTGCCAGAGCGCACGCCGAACCAACCTTAAACGTGTCCACGTTGATGAGCTGACTCTTGGTGCGCAGAATGGTCCCCAAGATCTCGTAGTCATCTGTGCATCGAATGAGTGTAAGAAAGCAGTGATGGTACGCACAAACTTACTTATGCGCTCCATGTCCTCCAAGTTCTATCAGCTAATTCTCAACCCATCTGGCAAGATTGCGAGCCATGCGGTGCCTGCCTCCATACTTGAGCAGCGATACGGCATTATCGGGCAACAGGCGCACTCACAGTAGCGGACTCAATCAGACAATGCGCTACCGCAGGTCCTCCGACCTGCCACATGGCCAGTTCAAGACATCTTGCTTGGGCGCGTAGGACATTTCCTTCCTTCGAGAACCTCTCGTACAATTGGCCTAAGCGCGAGGAGATGTCGACGATGCTCGGCGTGGCCGAGAAGACGATGGATAGTTCGTCAATTTGGAAGCCCTCGTTCACTGCCTTGACTAGAGTACCCGCGTCTTTGCCCGCTCTTCCCTGACACTCGTCATCGCCGTGAGGAAGAGGCCCAGACCTGTCTCGGCTTCGTACGTGAGATATATGGCGCTATCGACGGACTGGAATGTTGCGTTGTAGCATGGTCCGAGATATTGAATGAGTCGAGGGTAATGATCTGCTACAAGCCTCACCGTCAATTTCAATTGTGTGTGAGCAATCGAGTGCACGTACGCAGCAGCTTTGCGAGTATCGTAGCTGAAGCCATACACCAGCTCATCCCTCCATCATCCGAATCCTCTCCTCTCCTCGCACGTAGCCAGGCGGAAACCTTGCTTGACTAGCTGCTCGTCGATCTAGGACCTCAACCTCAACGAGAGAACGCGAACGGGCGGGAGAACATATGACATACTACGGGAATGGCGGCATTGAAGTAGTTACCCGTGCATAGGTCCTCTCCCGTGGCTGGAGCAAGTTTGTGCGTGGCTGTCCGACTTGGGGTACTACCAGTCGAGAGGCTCAATTAGTCTTCCGTCAAGGTAGAGGACAGGACAGAGTCCATTGATCAATCACGTTACGACTGTAGGCCAATCGCACGTACGTAGTAAGAACTCCGCGGTCCGGTGCGGCCAATGAACTACGGTTATGAGCGTCCCCCTGACCTGGGCCAACGGGGCTTTGACCGTCACGCTCGCGCGCCTGTCTTGGGCTCCATAGTTCGAGTTTGCCATCTGTGCACAGTTTGACGCTGAAGAGATCCCGAGTGGTCGAACAGAATGCAAAGATGCTTTGAAACTTGCGGGTCGGAGCGCTCGATGTATGACCAAAGTAAGTAGTGGTGTCTCCGGGGCCAGCCGTGGCGAAAGGTCGAACCGCGCATGGAGCGGCGGGAGGAGAGCGTAGAGCATATATTCGTATTGTATTCGAAGGCCAATCATGAGGTGGATGTATAGAGGTTTGATGACAGCACGAGACAGGCCCTACACGTTCAGCATCAACCTGTTTGCGCACAAGCGAGCTGCTGAACGCGGCCACGTGAGTTGCTGTCTTCAGGAGCTGCGATCAGCGCGTCTACTGTACACCCGGGGTACCTTCCGCAGTGCAAAAGACGAAGCTCTTGCCCCACGCTCCAATACCGTTTTGATAGATTCTCTGTCCGGTGCTTTGCTTGCATAGGCATAGAATGACATCCTCCGCGCTTTTCAAATGATATTAGAGTACAACATAGGTTGCAACTAAGCTCAACGTGATATCTCATGATCTTCAACGATCGAGGGACAGAAGGGATCGCGCCCTAGAGAGGATGCACGTCCACTACCTCACACACTCAGATGAGACTAGTACTCGATGCACATTGGTACAATTGCTTGCAGGCGATGGGGGTGTGTAAACCAGCAAGCATAGGCGGAATTTGAAGTCCCGCAAAAGCTGACCCGGGATGTCAAAGACCTGTTGTGTCGGGCGTTCCGTTCGGTGCTGATCAGTGTTGCCTGGAGCTCACGGTATCGCTTAGCGGCGTGATCGAGTGGGGGGTTGTTCGTGGACCGCGATCGCGGTAAGAGAGTTAGGTCGCGAGCTTGGTCCTGGCGGTTCGTTGGTCGAGGGAGACGTCGTCGGACCAGGCGTATCGCCGGTGGCGGTAACATGAGACCAGCATTTCGTATGGCCCAGCTCATGGTTCGAGTGGTGTGAAGAGCTGCGAAGGAGGGCGGTGCTCTGCGTGCGGGGACCGCCTCCAGTGCGTATCAACTGCGCCGCGGCGGACCGCGGCGGTGGTTGTCTCTATTGCGCTGTCGCGAGTGGTGGTGGCACATTCCTTCTGGTCTCAACAGGAGATGCGGCCGTAGCTGTAGTCATAGCTCGCGTCGTCGTCACACCGGTTCTCTCGGTTGCGGGCGCTTTCGAAGTGTCACTGTCGAGTAGCGAGTGTATGGGTCCTGGTGGCAGTATGACTTCTAGTCTTAGCTAGCTCTACTCGATGCGCTCGTGATACACCCGTGCCAGTGGTAGCGCCCGAGACAGGAGCGTTTCCAGCACGATTATCGGTGGTCGCGTTTGTAGCGGATGCTGCGGCGTAACAGGGCCTACCTTCGGCGTGGGGGCCTCGATGAGCTGGATAGACCCCTGCGTCGTCACGCGCGGAACAGTACTGTTGAAGACATTCATCAGCTAAGCTTTGGCTGGAAGTGGGAAGCGAAGAAAGTGCGCGCACCGTCTGGTATCTGGCCTATTCGCGCCCGTCGTCGCGGTGTCAGCGGGCATTGTGGTCGGTAATCTGCGGAGGGCCAGTGAAGGGGGAGACGGTGAAGAGCAGGATGAAATAAATATATGGAGAGTGTGTGATTGCTCCATTGACCTTCACCGTGGAACACGCTGTCATCACCACATTGTCAACGGACCACAATCACGAATCGCCCTCATCTTCACACAAGCATCAACTACACTCCACGATATGATAATTTGGTTGAGAAACGAGCGTTTGCCTCCTCTACAGCGTAGCGGTGAGCCTAGAGTACAGACACAAAAACATGTAACTGTGAACGAGCGACCGTGATGGCGAACGAATCGAGGCGCAGTCCAGATATTGAGGTCGAAGCTAATGTCGCCAAAAAGGCGAACTCCATCGTATGCACAGCTCCTCATACCTCAGCACAGGCTCCGGCTCCGGTTCATCTCGCAACGGGTGATCATACCCGACGAACCTCATGACGCTACACCTCAATCAGCACCTTGACTTTGAGTTTGAGAGAAAGAGATACGCACTAGATCGTCCCATCCGTACACCCATCAGCAACAACCTCATGTGTGAGCTGCATGCTCATCGGGTTCTTCTCAGGTGTCGCCAATGCCGCGAACTTATTCGGCAATCCGGTCATCAAGCCCTTCATGCTGCTCGCGGCACCAGACCCAAGCGCGAGCGCGCGCCATGCGCCGCCTGGTGCACGGATCTCAGCTCGAGTGCGATGGGCTCGCTGAGGATTTTCTTGTCTGCGTGGTACCGCCACTGCTTGTTCAGTCGTCGTAGTCAGAGTCCTTGGCCTGGCGGATAGGTTCGCGGTCGCGATGGGTCAACATGTGCATCTGTGCGCTTCACGTCAGCGATTGCAGCATATATCAAGAAGATGAAGACGCACCCGACAATCCGTCCCAGCGCGCGAGCTAAACTCTGTAGCAGAGACGACACTCCTCTTGCTCGCAGCACCGATCGCAAGATCCGGCGTCTCGACAACAGCTACGAATTTTGGTGGTGCAGTCAACACTGCTGCTCTCAGCTCTAGACTCACACTCGGCGGAGGGTTTGCGTGCGCATTTTGCGGGCCGCCCATGCTTGCGCGCGAGAAGGTTGAAGAGTTGAGTGTGGACCAGCGCGGGCCGTCGGCGCCTGGGCGCATTGAGATGGGCGGGGAAGGCAGAGGACCGGGTGATGGGGAGAGCGAGCTGGGCTTCACTTGTCGGAGTTGACTCTTCGGCTTCGGTCCATTGCCAGTGGAGGATGACAGACTTGATTGCGCTCTGTGAATGATCGAAGGACGTCAGTATCATTGCATGAGCGAGGGGGGTGCAACTTACTGTCATAGCGTTTCCCCGCGCGGCGAACCATCGCAGCATATTGAGAAACACAGGGCGGGCTTGCCGCACAATCTTTCTCTCCGCCCTCCAAACCCAACACACGAGCGCCTTATCCGCACCGGGTGACACAAGTTTCGTCGAAGACAGCGCGACGGCCGAATGCCGCTGAGATAGCCTGCAAGCTGCTGCCGCGGCGGAGGACAGGTGTACACGTCTGCAGCCTAGTCAGCTCAACAGCCTGGTGTAAGTCTAAGGGCGGCACGCACCCAATATCGTGGAACCAAACAACGAATATATCTCCCTCTGCCAAGAAGTCCACGCATGACACCAGCTTCTAGCTTCTCGACTTGCGACACGTGTGTCCATTGGCCAGTCGTGACGCGTGACGTCCCAGAACCTCTACAAACAGTTCATTGGCATTACTTCTTACTCACGACACTAAAGAGAGACATACCGGATGGACTCGTCGTAGCTACAACTGATAAGCCTCTTACCACATAGGGTAGAGCAGTAGCAAAATTCGCATGACCGGGTAAGAAGCGGATACTATGGGAGAGCGTTGAGGAAATAAGCTTCATGGTGGTGCAAGCTACGGTACAACGGCTCCCTATACAGTCGCAATGAGCCCTGCTTGCGGCTTTGACGGATAGAGCGTGATGCGTACCAGCCCTCCAGGGTCTTCGGCGCACGAACAGGGACGGGATCCGATGCGGTTATGCGCAGACAGTGCACGCGCCACAGTGCAGGCGCGTGTACTGCTTGCTGAAAATTTTTGACACGAGATATTAGCGAGCATCTACACGAGTTGTCAGAGAGTAACGTACTGTCTCGACGGCCAACAAATTGCGCACATTGAGCCACTTCAAGATGCCGAAGGCCAAGGGTGGTGCGAGCGAGTCGATGATGTCCGGCCGGTAGGGGTGCGACGAAGACACGTCCATGACCTTCAAGAATCCAACCTCTCGCTCGAGAGCACCACTCTAAGGAACAGGAATTAGAGGCGAGCGTATGTTGTACAGGAAGCAGATACATACTTGATGTCCTTCCCGCACATCGGACTGACTATCCTCATCAGCGCTCTTGCGCCTTTTCGCAGGAGTGGTCGAAGCATCGTGTACAGGCGGAACGTCGGCTACGTTCCCGGAAGTGGGTCGTCTAGCAAATGCACGGGTCGTAGGGAATGTACGCAGATCGGTTGTGGGGGTATGCGCGGTGGCAGGGCCTGCCACTGAATCAATAGCATCGAGGTCGGTGGAAGAGGGCGAATCGAGCTCGATGGTGGCGGCGAGAAGCAAAGCCACAAGTTCCTCGCCGTAACGAGACCAGCGTGTGCTGCGAATGCTTGAACAAGCTACTTGGGCTTGTGACTGACAAGCTCAACGTCGCCTAGACGACGTAGAGACTACCAGTACATGCGGGGGTCCGAGTAACCTGCACGCGCGTCTCGGGAAGCGAGCGGTAAAGACAGAGCATGCTGTTCGGGGGCCCGGAGGCCAGGTAACGTCCGAATCTCCTTTACGTACATCGCGAGGTATAAGTACGAACAGCAGGAAAGGAGTCATAGGGAACGGGGACCTGTATGAAGAGGGGCTAATTATAATGTAAGGATATGCAATACGAGAGGAGCGAGTATAGATGTAGGGGAACGAGCATGCGGAAAGGCCGATAACGCCGATGTGGTGTGAGTTGGGGCGGGGAGACGTCCTCGAAACCGACAATAGTCTATCAAGATATAACCAATAAAGCGACGCTGTATTGATGAAAGACAGAAGCTCTCAAACTGGAAGCGACGGAGTATAGCTCAAAACCTCTCGCTTGAGGTAGGCCAGAAACGCTCGATCGTCGCCCGCCTTTGTAAGGATCTCAGCTCGCAGGGCGACCAGACTGGGCTTCGTCATGTTACGGTTGGGATGCCTAAACAGCACATATTCACGATGTGCTTGCTCTCTGTGATTACATCAGTTGAGAGAGGGGGTAACTGAGCGGTGCACGAACAGATGATTGAGCAGCTCTTGTGGCTTGAATAAAGACCCTCGCCGCTTACACAGACCCGGCCCATTGATGGGACACGAAAGAGTTCTTTCCGCACTCAAATTCAGTTCAGCTTCACGAGCCCGTTTGGCCCGCTTACGACGAAGATCCGTGCGCGTCAGTGCGCGATCAGAGCGCTTCGAAGGAACGACCAGGGACGGAGGACCTTCTGTCGCTTGATGAGGTGACGCTGGGAACGTTAGTGTGTGAGCGCCTATACAATTGAAAATACTCACGCGTCGGGTCGTGAGACGTCCCTTTGGAAATCACAGTATGATCCATATTCACGTCCATGTCGTGAACATCATGCATGGGCTCTTCGCGCACGGGCTCTTCGTGCACGGGCTCTTCGCGCATGGGCTCTTCGCGCATAGGCTCTTCGCGCATGAGCTCTTCGCGCACGGGCTCTTCGCGCATGGGCTCTTCGCGCACGGGCTCTTCGCGCATGGGCTCTTTGTCAGCATGTTTAACAGTGTCTGGCGTATTGTGAGCACGAGCTTGCTCCTGAAGATCTGCCATCTAACCGCACCGATGTGTACAGGGACTTGTAGATAGCGAGGCGCTGCAGAATATTGAGACAGCCAGGGATCCGAGGCGGGATCAAGGCGAGCACGGCTGTATTCGTCAGTCTGTGATCGCACAAAGAACCACCAGCACATTTGGTCCAACTGTAAGATGTCTTGTGCTTCGCGGTCCCCGCTGTCGAGCCGATGCTGGCGCAATTCTTCCCCGATCCTGTTCGAGTGTAATATGTTAACGGGACTGACAAAGTCGACGGCGATCTTGACGCAGGAGGATAGGTTCATGACCTGGTAATGGGTCAAGGAGGAATAAGCATGATCGAGGGATCCACTCTGACCTGATGGCCTACACCCGCTGGGATGAATACGGCTTCGCCAGGCTTCTGCACATGAGTCCAGACGTGTACTCCATGCCCCCGAAGACGAGTGACGTCTTCCTCGGTGAGAACAATCTCCTGGGAATGTATAGGGTGTCCGGTGAACTCGCCCGCCTTCCACTCCTTCAGCAGGCTCGCAGCCAAGCCCATATGATCCCGATTGATCATCGTCCACAGTGCACCATCCTCGCTGTCACCCTTTGCACGTGTCGAGGAGATCATGAGATTGACAGCGTCGGTTACATCACAATGTAACCGGGTAGTGGTCCCACCGACACCTGTGTGAGCAATATACGCTTTCGGACCTACAAGTCGTTAGCGCTTGAAACATCTACGGCGCAGAGCAGCATACCTGTATCAGGCGGGCACGAGCCGGACGGCATATTTGTCTCCATATTCAGTGGCCCAGACTTCGAAGTTAGTATGGGACCAACTAAAGCATCTTCGAAAATATTGAACATGTCCGGGAATGCCGTCTCAAAACCCCTCGTCGGTGGCCAGTCCTCGTTCAACAATGAGCACCAGAGCGTGACAGGAACAGAGATAGCTTACCTTGAGCTTCTCCGGCTCAACGTCGGCAGATGGCACAGTGAAGCTATGCATAAAGTCCTTCAATTGAAGAACCCTATCGGCACCAGTCTTCGTATTGATGACTGTGACCTCTTCATTGCCATGCCGCGAGATGAAGTATTCCGGCGTCAGATTACTCTCTCCGGGATTGATCCCAGAAACGACAAGGGGTGTTCCTGAAGCAAGCGCGCGATACAGCATTGAATACGAGGGTAATCCAGCGCCATGCGAGAGCGCAATCTTGATGACCGCTGCGTCCTGAGGGCTCGGAAGGTGTCGTCTGAAACTCTATGAATGCTTCGCAGCGCACCAAGTACATTATCACACACGGAGACGGAGCTTGCCTGAGTTTTTCAAGAGCCTTCTCGAGTTCCTTCGGCTGAAAGCATTCGATCAGAGCGAAGTCGTGTTCGTGCGAGCCAGAATTAGCGATACAAAAGTGGTCAAACTAGAGAGGTTCAGTACTGATACAGAGTATCAAGAGCACCAATACGCACTATTTCAGCCCGCTTGCAAGCCTCGCAAAGTTCGACGCCGCAGAACCTACAAAGCTGAACCCCACAGAAACAAGACATGCGGCAATGATCTATTGGCAGTGAATTCTGAGATGGACGGCGCCAACACTATTCTGTAGGATACACACCGCAGTAAAGGCGATCACCATTCAATTGCGGGGTCCTCATGATCGAAGAGGAGCAGATGTCACGCAAGGCGGAATGGGCCTCCAACCTTGGGATTAAGATCTCAGGGATAACACTCTACGCTTGTGAGCGAAGCATCACCGACATCTCTCGAGGCTTACCGAGCAGATATCTCTCATCGCGCTCGTCAGCTGCGTAGAAGTTGGCTTGAAGATCGGAGTAACGCAGGCCTTGTGCTCGTACGGCAGGATAGACACGATTACATGGTCCGGTCCCGGAGAGACGATGAAGGTCCGCTGTTCGTCGACAACATGCTTGGCTCCCTCTGCCTCTATTGGTGAGTGGGATGAGCAAGCGCAAGCAAAGTGCATGGCTCACTGAAGAAACGACACTGTAAGTTCTTTCGCCTCTTCCGTCCTTTAGGGGGCGTTTCCGCCATCGCTCTAGCGCAGTCTACACACGGGGAAACCTTGCTTCGTACGAGCTTCAGCGCTTCACTCTGGCGATGCTTCGTCGTAAAAAACTCGTCGCAAGTGCTCGTCTGTAGGATAACGATGTCCTCCATTGAGATTTGTAGTGATGGTTTCAATCAAGGGGTGGGAGCGACTCCGGCGCCGTCCTTGCCAACATTTCCCACACGACATCTACTAGAGGCGCAGGCGCTGCATTCTGCAGCTGAAACCTGGCTTGAAAATGAGTTTTCTAGCTCTAATAGTAGCATCTCGAGCAGCGCGGGTATACGTAGTCGCAAGCAATCGTGGTCAGCCAGGGCCCACGCCTTCGGCCGGCAGCTTTATTCGAGAGAGTGCCATTGTCGCTCCAGATTGCTGCTCCTGGCTGGGTCTCACCCAACACAAGATAGTATGGTCGACTGTAACTCCTGCTAGCAAGCCGTGCAGGACTACGAGGCTTCCGTTGGAACGACGGAGTTGATGGCATCAGCGCACCCACGGCAATCACCGGTTGGTCGGTTTCTACGCCGGATTTCGGCCAAGCTAGCTGGTAAACAAGGCTAGGCCATGACGAAGCGTCACGGCTTCATGTTGCCCGTGCCGTTTCTATTGTGCGCATAGCACAGCATATGCAGTAAGACAGTGCTTAGTACGAACTGGTATAGAGGTACGTGAAAGGGGCAGTTCGGCGAAGCATCGAAGATGGGCTTGAATAATGGGCCTGTCTGGATCTGAGGCCGCATTGAAAACGACCCCGCGCGCTGTAACTTGCCTAGCTCCGTGCCGAGCGAATTGAGCGCAATGTCGATCGAGCGCCTGTCGGCTTCGAAAGGCGAGGATGCACGTCAATGACGTCGGCTGTGCGGCCGCCGAGGGAGGAGACAGAGAAGTGGAAGTCTTCGAGGTAGCGCGTTGCGAATATAATCGCAATGTTTAGGCTGCCGAGGTCGGACGCGGAGAGACAGTAGCGGAAGTAGGGCGCTAGGGATATTTCGGTCAGTACAGCCGCGAAGAGCTCTTCGATGCTCGACGCAGAGTGCGGGCATGGTCTCAAACCAGCCTAGAGGATAGCAACGCTCGAGTAGCTCGTGCATGTCGCGCTCGAAGGTTGCTCACTCATGCATGCACAATGCGTCATCAGCACTCAATCACAATCGAAAAGGCGGTAGGCACCTTGTACGAAACCGAGTAGAGGAAGACGAAGCGCTTGCCGGCTCGCTGCGAATGATGCAAGATGCGGTTACAGGCGGCCTCAACGAGTCCCAATGCCTTCCTGGACATAGTCATCGCTCTGTTCGTGTGCAGGGCCGCTTACGAGACATCGCAAAGTGAAGTGTACAACTCTGCCTGCGGCTGAACATGCAATTGTCACTACGGGCTTGCGGGGATGACATGGGATGAACGAAAACAATTAGATGCAGCACGGGGCAAACAGCAGGGTGTACGGGCAAGCATTCATGCGGTTGATGTATTGCACGTGGAAATAGGATAGATTGCCGAGGCCGAGCGCGTACGGCGGACAGACAGACGGGAATCTCGCGAACGATACGAGTGGTGCGAGAGCTGAAAGGAAAACGACACGAGTGAGGCGCGAGATCATCGATCAGCGCTTGGGGTCCGATGAGGCGAAAGACGGAAAACCGCGCGCAAACGCCCTCGGTGCGTAAACTCGCGCTGGAGCTTATTGCGCATTGCTGGATTGCTGAACATGTCCAAACCAGTACTTAGCGGAGGGTCCAAGGCCCAGCAAGCTCAGCGTCGTCTATTTTGCGCTTCTTCTCCAGCCTCTTTTCCGGAGAGGGTGGAGGTGTTTGAAGCGATCGAGGAATGTTGTGCCCGCGCAACGACCCATTAATCCGTCCGAAACAATCCCACGCGATCGACTCAGGCGGCGCAGAGATCCTCTTATCATGAGCTGATGCTCTGTGCGATCTCCTCCGGAGCCAGATCTAAGAAGCCTCCGACAACCAGCCAAATGGGAGCAACACATCGCATGTTGGAGCACGGTCTCATCCTCAGTATCGGGGAGAACTGATAGGCATTTAGGAATATATCCTGAGGCGATGAGGGAAGGGGACAAGGTGGGCTTCTCCGCCTTCTTGCACTGACAAACTGATCTGGCCACCACATAGATTGCCGACGGATCAAGGGCTTGCCGATGCGCAGAAGCATTTCACGAAGACCATCCAAAATATCGTACAAGCTGGGCACGACAGGCGTACAAAAACTAGATGGGATATCAAGTAGCAAATTGGAGGGGAGGGAAGAATATATGGATGCAGTGTACAGGAAGAGAATATTTGGGTGTAGTGGTGAGTAGTAGAATGGGGTTTCTACAGTCCTTAACAACAATTGACAGTAATCTACGTCCACAAGAGGACCGAGATTGCCAGGGAGTGCAGAGTTTCAGATAAGAGGCGATATCGCGAAGCGCACGGCAACGAGGTGTGCGAAGATGGGCGTCAAGACCTTGGCTGTGGCCGCTGTTGCTCTCCGAGCCGTTATTGTTCTACTGCTGCTGAGTTCAGCTATCCAAGTCGTTGGACGGGGCCTGCTTCTGCGTCACCGTAGTCATACCTGACCATGATCGTAGTTCGGAAAGGTCTTCTGTGCTGTACGTTCTTGATGCAGCGGGGACTAGACGGCCCGATCCGACTTGCAGGGTTCGGATCGTTTGCTGGAACGCGAGGCGACTAGCGGTACTCAAGCGGCGACGCTTCGGTACACACTCTTTATTTCCAATCTCGTCCATTTGCGGGCGCCTGTCGGTGCCTGAGCGCGACAAGGCGGAGCTGGCAAATAGGGGAGAGAGAGTGCACGGGGCTCGAATCGTCGTTTGTCGAGCTCGTGCGATGTATAAATCGGCGCTGAGCGTCTTGTCGAGGCCGCTGCGTGGCAAAGACTTCAATTTGATGATTCTGCGCCACTTGATCGCGCATGGTCTTGGGCCTGGGGATGCTGCTATAGTCTACGGTATACCCCGTAACTGTTGGTAGAAGGCCTCAGTACCTTGTTCAAAGAACGTGAAGGGAAAGAGCCTCACCCTACAGCGGGACGTTGAGCGAAGGATACGTACGCGTCGCAATCAAACTCGTTATCAAACGGTGCGACAGTTGAGCCCGCGACGCCACTACAGCGCGTAGGATCGGCTTCCTGACCACCCGGGACCACCTGGAGCGGGAACAGTACCGGCGCAAGCTACAAGGCGGGCGCTCTGGCGGGCCTGTACCGTCATTCGCGCTTGCAGACAGAGGAAATGTGATAGGGAGTTACAATGGTAGCCGTAGCTGTTGTTAGTGTGGCAAGAGCGGGCGCGGCGGCGGCGATGCTGGTATATTGACGGACGCATCGGGAGGGCAAGTCTCGTAGTCCAGCTGCGCGTAGGGCAGGCACGGCGGCCATGAACCCATCGACATCACGCTCAGTCATTGCCCTTGAGACGAACAGATGCATCAATTGGTCAGACTTGAATGGGGTGCCGAGTTTCAGCGCGCCAGATGGAATGGTGGTAGGACAAGGGAAGTAGACGGCGGTGGTACTGCATAGTACGGCCCTCCTTGCTCCTCGCGCTATCGCGCCTTTGTCATCCCTCGTCCAACCGAGCCGACGACCATAAAGGAACCACCACCCTGTTCTACGTTAGGACCACTGGACCTGTTGAATTTCTGAGAACTTACTCACCAGGCAAGATGGTAGATGTGCTGCACGACGTCCGCATCCGTATGAAGTATGAGGGGGGTGATGCGATTGAAGCCTATCGCATGGAACAAGAAGCGGAGAGCCCATGTAGAACGTCGACCGCTGCCTTGAAGATGACCGATAGTGGTGTCATAATTCAAATGATTGTCGCCGGCTGATATCGCTGTGCGCACAGCGAGCAATGGGCGATGCGTGTATGTCTCGGAATGAGAGCAGTATCGGTCAGGGCTACGTGGTACCAGGCACGGCACACATGTAAAACTGCGAGCCAGCTTCGGGAGGGGGATGAAGCGGAGGCGGTAGTCGTTGGTGGAGTAAGTAGAGCCAAGTACCAGAATACGCGTCGCAGGACACTAGGCGAGCATACTCTAACGAGAGGCCTACTATTGCGCTCAGTGTGTTGAAGAATATGTAGGATACGCGTACGCACTTTAGGTAGTCAATCGCCTCTCCCGTATGCTGGATTATTGCGTCCACGATGACGACAAGCTCTTCGACAGCTGACGTCGAATCTAACATATTCTCAAGGGAGCTCATTCCCAGCATTGCTAGCGTATTTGGAGTCCCATTGACGTTGCTAAAGGAAATGGCATATTAGCATGCACAGGCCCATGTGCGCGCTCAGCATGCAACGCACTTTAGTATGGTCCCATCCGACATCGTCTAGGATAGAGGCTGATACGCGGCGTTGTAAGACACATATCATACAGAATACGGTCCTTGTTCAAGTGGAGGTTGAGTTGAAGCCCTGCGAAACCTCCACCGCACAACGCCGCCTTCGGCGCCGGCAATCAATAAGACCGGGGTCACACAATTCACCGAGAGGAGTTTATCATGAACGCCGACCTTGAGGATAGGAGACTGACCGTACTTAGATTCTGGGATTGGGTTACCATACGATCACCGTACAGGGTCCGAACGGTACGGAAGTAGCCTCCGTTCCGATCACCATGCAGTGACATCATACCGGTACAGCTTGATCACCGGACATCATGCACTCTGTCCCGAACGTTCATCTGCACACCGCTCCTCTCACCGTCGAGTCGCCAGACCGGTACGTGTCTTCATTCACGGTCACCCTGTCGGACGCCGGATGATGGCTGGCTACATACTGAACGACGTCCTGACGGGAGACGTGCACGCGTCCGCGGGCCGGAACCAATATGGCGTTTACTGCGATGTGCGCGTATCTTATACTGCCCCTCGGTGTACTTGAACAACGGCTCAAACACAATTGCATTGCATTGCCTCTATCCCTCCAATATGCGCGATTTTGAGTGCTTACCCGACTTGCCCGACTTCACCCCTTCGGAGTTGCATGCCGCCGACCGCACGACGAAGTATCTAGTTACGCGTCGCTTCACGATTGCTGAGGCGGACCACTCTCCTGGAGTCGGATACACTGATGTTCATATGCGGGAACACCACCAAGGCGACACGAACACGTTCACTACGCGTATACCTGCAGACGATGTGCGCTCCGACGAATCAACTCTCACCGCGGCCATCATCTTACCCGACCCTTCGGATCCACGCGCGGCCGGCAGTGTCCTCGAACCCTCTTCAAGAGAAATTACCCAGGATTCCAATGGGTTACGTGTCTATCCGCCCAACCCTTACGCACTCTCTCGAGCTTGGTGCAAGTCCCTCAGCGCTTCTGACATGATTGGGCCTATCTGGTGGCACCATTTCGGCCTGCATATAGTCTGCACAAACCATATGGCTGACGTCCACTCACTATACAGGTGTGAAGTGCAATTCGACTACAGACTGCGTCAGCGCCGCCAAAAAGGTGCGGCTTCTCGTTCCGACTCCTTCCTATCGGCGAACAACAAGGTCATCACTGCAGACCGCGACGCAGGTAACGCAGCGAGGATCCGTGCGTTCTTACTCTTATCTCTTTGAATCTCCTTCTGATCACCATGTTAGGCTGTTCATGATCACTTAGAACGCAGGATCCGTCCAGATTCTAACCCTATCCCGCTCAATGACGATCATGAAGCGATGGGTATCTCGGTGAGTGATTTCTCTATTGTCATTCTCGCATGGACAGTTGATAGTGCAATCATAGACTCTTGCGTGTCATGACTTGCCTTTGCGATGTACAGATACACGGTGTCTGCGTGACTCCTGCTCGAATGCTTGACTGCGTCGTTCACCTGCTCAACACCTCCCATTACAGCGTGAAGTGCCTGCTTTTGGCCTCATGCACAACCATGTCGTACTGGGAGTGATATTGAGTGTTCCCTTATAGATTCTGCAGTTCATTCACGATTAACGCCTTTATAGGATGAGATCGCCGGGCATGAGGATGTATCTCGCCCGTCAGTGTATTCGTGTCGCCCATTCTTGACTCTCGCCCTATTTGCTGACATGACTGCAGTGGTGATGAGACTGACCACGTCACTTATTCAGGTGACGCATCTTCAGTATAGCCGCAGGTCACGGTTGTCAAATACGTTCTGGGCTTATCCGACATGAAGACACGCAGTCGCCAGGACCTTCCCACCGAGGACGACGCGTTACCGGCTCGACTTCAACTTATGGTCTATCGCCGCCTGCTTCTTCGCCCCTTTTCCCGTTCTGTCCCGTGGGCTACATTCTGGGAAAGGCGCGATATAGATCCTTCGCGTTCCTTACGCGACGACTTCTTATCTCAAGCGGAACGAATCATGTCAACCATCTACTTCGATCGGGGCTATGGCGACCGTTTGCTGCCGTTGCCACGCATGCTCAATGATTCTTGTCTCCCGGGACCGTGTTCGAGCGTTGGGGAGTGTTCGCATTCACCAGGAGATGCGTATCGTTTACCGTAAGCGAATGGCTTCAGGAGGGAGGAAGAAGGCCATTCGCGACGCTCGTGTCGCCCAAGTCGCGCTTGAAGCGGAAGTCGTTCGTGAAGACGGCGCTGTTCCCAAGTTGGCGCAACTCGTCGCAGCACATATCGTCAAGCAGACGTCGTCGGTATAACCAAGGTATGTTACCTACGAGAACCGTGTAACTGTCCATCATGCTAACATTTCGCACCTGTGCTCTTAGAATCGAGAGGCGCCCGAAGCAATGGCATTCTAGCAGGGACTGACAGTGACCTTGGAAGCGGCTGTGACGGCTACGACAACGGTGAGGGTAAGGGCGGCGGCGGCGAGAGCGAGGGCACATGCGAGGACAAGAGCAAGATGGAACATGACGGTGACGATGCGTCACCCATCATAGGCGTCTCGTCGTTCTCAATGGACGACGTGCTCCTCGACGAACACCTCCGTCGAGTATTTGCCTGGTGGTTGGGTGACAGGAACCCGGAAGGAGTATCGGCGAGAACGTGCGGAGATGCTGGTACGTTGTTGCTCGACAATCTTCATGACTGCATTCTCACGATGGCCTCGGTCTAGCTCCTGCGAGTATATGCAAGACTGTGAATGGCGAGAGAAGAAGACTCTTGAAAATGACATCCAACATGGTATTTGCTCGCGTCTTGCTCGCTGACGACCATTCACTAGTCCACGTGTAATAGGTATATACTACACAGCCATTGGTATGGCACACGTTTGGCGACTACGCCTACGCCCGGGTCACAACCGTATATAGTCGCGCGTCGCGCTTTGATCTTAAACCACACCCTCAACCCTATGCATTCAATATATCGATTTCCTTTTCTTCTCTCATCTGTTCCTGTCTCTTCATGTGGCCCTTGAGAGGTCATCTCCCTGAACTCAGCAACTCCCGGGTTGTTACACGGCTTGGGAGGTCATTTCTTTTTCGCGCGGACCGTCGCTTGTGTCGCCGTGCGCCCTTCACGCCTCGGATGGGTGACTATGTTGCCTGCTGTTGTTCTCTTCCTTTGTTGAACAGGCACCGTCTATCCCGCACTCAGGATGCCCGTAAGGATCACTCGGAATGTGCGGATGCATCCCCGACCGCTTGCGCACCACTCAGCATCGTGTGCCTCTTCTGACAGAACTATGCTACATCCACGCCTGGCGCTACCGGCTGTCGCTGCCTTCTCGCAACCAAAGTAAATACCCGGGTTCCTCGTATGCATTGCACATGTGATCATACATATACACTAACGTATCGACAATCCCAAGATGTACAAAGTCCTGGCGGCATCAAGAAATGATATGTCCGGGCTACCTTGGCCAGTAAGTACACCGATCATGCCCGTTCTAGGTGACGTACGTTCACAGCCTACTGATCATCACGGAGAGTTGAAGGCCGGACAGACGCAGCGTCGTTCACTCTCCGCTTCTTCTCGGGCGACGGCGGAGGTGTCTGCAGTGGCCGCGGCACACTAAGACCGTGCTGCACCTGCGACCCAGATGCTGCCAGGCCCGCCGTCCGACTGCTCAGCAATACATCTGCGATCCCCCACATGATCAAAGCATCTGGGGCGGTTATCTTCTTGTCGAAAGCTGGTTCAAGTCAACGTGGGTGTCGTGTCTTCAGCATTGACAGACTCACGGTAGTTCTCGAGCGTGATTGCTGCGCTTCCTGTCAGATCGACGCGGTCGACATGCTTTATATGAAGACTTAAGTACTTACGGGCCGAGCGGAGAGACCGGATGATATCCGCAGCAGGGTTCGTGTTCGTTGTGCCGCGGTAGTACATGGCGCGGGAGTCGATCTGCTGCTTCGTCATGCCGTGCAGCCCCCACGTGCTGTGCCTGTCCCAGGCGATATTCGGATACATGGCCTGCCCTGCAAGATATGTCAGATGTATAAAGGTGATGCTAATTTTGACCTATTGCGACACACTGTTCTTGACCTGCTCGGCGGTGAAATGAAACCCGCAGTCCAGTTTGTCGACCTTGGGATTCCTATCGGACTTGCAGTCCGACTTGCGTATCCATCCTACGCAGAAGAACTGCCCATCGCTGGCGGGTCCCTGCGCTTTCCATAAATGATTGCAGATAATCTCGCCTTTGTTGATCGCGTCATTGGCGATGGGAAGTCCGATGGCCTTAGCCGCTGCGATCTCTTCTGGAGACAGCTTCGCAAAGCCGCCGACTACTGGCCACGTCGATTCAACACATCCTATATCAAAAAACGGTAACAAGCGCGCTAGGATGGAGAGCTGATATGAGTTCAGAAACATATTATGAGCTAGGGTATCCATGGTGGCGGACGATGAGAGTTTGTTCGCAAGTGATGAGAGTCTTATACTGCTCTCGGGTATCGCCGACGTCGCGATGGGAAAGTGACGAGGGGCAATGCCGTCGGAACAAAAGACTTTTCTTTTTCGCACCCTTGACACATTTCCCACTGACACCTCGGGACCAGGACGCCTGGAAGGCTGTGACTTTATACAGAGGGCAGAGGAATCTCCTTCTGCAGTAGACGCTGTAAGGAGGGCGAAGCCCGGAACGGACGCGCTGAGGCGCGGTCACATGAGACACGCACTTGACGCGTCGCTGAGCCTACGCGAGAAAGGCGTGAGAGGCTAGCGCTAAGCCGTACGAGCTGCGAGCTGCTACGCGCGGGTGAGCCTCCATGCGGGCAACCGGAGCTAGAATCCCGGAGCCCGGAGAGAACCCCCAGCGCGTAGCGCTGTGAGTCGAACAACAAGAGAAGGAGGCGGGCGGGCGAAGATCAATTCGTTTGTCTGAGCAGCCTACTAGCGAGCCCGAGAGGAGGTCGGGGTCCTTCATCTTGCCACCGCGCGCGACTCGTACCTCGCCACGCGTGCGCTGCAATGGGAAAAAGCTCGGTGTTTGACGGCGCGCGTGGGCCAACCTCATGCTACAGGTTCGATGGCCGGGCTTCTTCCGCCTGCAAGCCCTTCTCTTCTTGCCTCCGCGCAATCGACACTCGTGCCTCGTACCTCGATACGCTACAGCTTACCGATTGAATTAGCAGTGCCCGTATCTTACTTTGTATATGCTCCTAGGCCGATCCCGTGGGAGCAGGGCCTATATCTTACATTCATCATATCTCCGTGTTATCATCAGTCAACCTCGAAGCATCCGCATAATGATGATGGTATGTGTTCGCATTTGAGAACAAGAGCCCCGGTAACTCGCTCAGGCATTCTCCGCGACACATCAGTCATCCTAGACACCAAGTAGCATGCATTGCAAATCATATTGAAAGAGTATCCTTATTATTTGAGTGGGGGTAGTTCGTAGACGAAAAGAAACGTGATGGTTCAATCACACAGAGAAGACGCGAGAGAAGTACAAATCGGCGTCATCCTCAGCTTTCAGGAGAGCGCCGACGACCCCATCCGGACGAACAATGGCTACCGCGACACCAGCTTCCACCCCGTAACCATGAGCAGCATGACCCTGACAGTCGACAAGAGCGGCCTCCTCCTTCTCCGAGCCCTTGGGCAGCACCGTCACGACATCGATGCCGCACTCCTTAGGGTACTTCTCGACTACGGCGCGAACAGCAGCGACACGAGAGGAGTCGAAGACGAGGACCGTGTGTCGGCCAACATGGAAGATGTCAAAGAGCGACGTTTCGCCCTGCGTGCCAACGAGACCCGGCGCATCGGGCGCACGATCACCCGCTTGCACACGAGTTCCTTCATCACCGCCGTACGTGCTCGTCGGCGCGAGGTTCGTGCTCTCGAACTGCACTTCACCAACACGCAGTCCATCGTATGCGATTGAACTCCAGCGGCAGTGAACGCCAAGCTGGCCCAAATTCGCGGGGCGTTTGAACGCGTCGGGGTCTGGGTTGACTTTGAAGGTCGCAGTGGCCAGCTTGGTCGTAATCTTGAGCATCTCGCCGATCACGGGAACGCGTTCTTCGCTGTAGGTGTCGAGCAGGCTGGGTGGAGCGAGGCCTTTGCATACGAGCGGAATCTTCCAGCTCAAGTTCCTCTGTATCATCATAAGTACGCTTGGAAGAATGTATGTGGGCTTGACGAGCATGACTAACCACATCCATGACGCCGCTGGTAAGGCCTTGTCCACCAGTCTGATAAAGAGTAAGAACATGGAAGACGCCTTCAAAGATGCCACTTACGGGGCTATGAAGATGGGCGACATCTACGTATGATCATCCCCAGTCAAAATCCGTATGAAGCAGAGGTCGTGCAAGGACGCACCGCCGGCTAACAGAATCCTTCCAGTCTGGAACTTATCGCATATGCGCACGTTCAGCCTAGCAGGTCATAGAACACTGAGCAAGATGCCCCATGGCAACGGAAGATGGATAAGACGTACCTCCACTCAGACAGAGACCCTACTGAATCAACAGTGAGGTCTGTCAGCTTCATTACATCGCGCATCCATTGGAGGAGGTAGTCAACGTCCTTCGCTCCCTTGACGATGTCCAGGTTCGGACCATGCCCAAAAATGAAGAACAGTCCAGGCGCTTCGTGCACCGGACGCACCATGAGTCTAGTAACAGGTTAGCGGCTTAGTGAGATGCACAAAAGGCGATAGGGTCGGGCGTACCCATTTCCCTCAGCATCACGGAAGAGATGCATGTACGTTCGATTTGGCGAGAGACTCGAAGTTGGGTGGGAAACGCTCGAGGGGACGAACGTAGGTGTGCACTGTGCAAGGGAGGGACTCGGGCGGGGTTGGGTCGTCGATGTTGACTAGAGATTTCAGTCGTGTTAGCCCGTCAACGATGCATACTTATAAGGGTTGAACGTACTGTTGGACCAGATGCGAGCAGACGCGCAGACGATCTCGCGGATGTTCTCTTGATGGTTGACAACTGTGCGGATGCTCAAGCTGGCGATAGTCAGACGAGGGACCTCCTTTGGTGCGTCGTCGTCTGACTCGGAGAAAGGATTGAAGTCCTTGGGGTCGTCAACCGTAACTTCGTATTGGCACCAAGACACCTGTGCAACTATCAGCCACTGTAGTGGAGAGGCAGACATACAACACTTACGCCTTTGTGCTCAACGTGAGGGTTCTTGATCTGGATCCAGCACGGACCCATGATCTTCCGCTTCAACACGAGCAGCTCAAACGCGTTGGTGTTCGTGCCAAAGACCTTGGAAAAGTTCGGGCTGGAGACCGTCGAGGGGATAACAGGCTCTAGACATCGAAGATCAATGGACATTCGAGCGCAGAGTGTTTATACACTTACCGTTAAACCCATACACGACCTTCATCCACTTCGTACTATCCCTCGGCGCATCCTCCTCCCCAAACGCATACTTCCTCTCCACGAACTTCGCCTTCCACTTCCTGATGCCAGCCTTCTGCCTAACCTGGTCAAAGTCCTGATACACGTCCGGCAATCCCGGCACCACATCCGTCTCGTTCCCATCTTCATCCAACTGCTGCGTTCGCGGTAGAACGAACAAGTTCCGCTGCATGTTCTGCACTGTCACGCAACACGAGACGAACGCGTTTGTGGTGGCGTCGCGTGTTTTGCCGATGAAGTAGAGAACACCGTCGTGTTCGAGGTAGTCCATCCAGAAGAAGCGGAAGGAGCCGTCGTCTTGGAGAGCTTTGATGTTGGCCGCTTTCTGTATCGAAGCGGAGGATTTGGAGCTGGATGGCAGGGAACCGAAAGATTCGTCGGGTGCGACGGTGAGCGAGTCGTAGACGGATAGCCACGCCGGCGGACCAGTGTCTTCTTTCTTCTTCGGTGCTGCAGGAGCAGGTTTGGGTTTGGCAGCAGGCGTAGGCTTCGGCTTTGGCTCGTCGTCGACATCCATGAACATCCTGATATCGTCGTGTGCGAATGCAGAGTCGTACTCGTCCTCGTCCTCAGGCAAAGACATACGCATAGCGCCCAGCTTAGCCGTAGTAGGCCCATCAGAACGGTCCGGCCTATGTTTCTTACGCGGACTGGCGTAAATATTATCGTCCGAAGACGCGCCCGCATCAAGACCGAGATCAAAGCCGTCCGAAGGCGGGCCATCGGAAGAGGCGTCGTTGTATGTGCTCTCGCGGTACGAGTAGCGCTCGGGCGAGGGAGACGCTCGCCGCTTACGCGCACGTGATGCGTAGGAAGAGGATGCTTTGGTTGTTGCGGGCGCTGAGTCGAGACCGCCGAGGATGCTCGCGAGAAAGTCCTCCTCTTGCTCCTCCGTCTTCTTTGGCCTGTACGCGCTGATCGACGGCGCGGCGGGTGGCGGCGGCTTCGGCTTCGCTTTGGCTTTAGCCTTTTCCGCTTCTTTCTTCTTCGATGCTGGGGTACTGATCAGGACAGATAAGACTTAACTGCTAATTAGCGGGTACACACCCTTGCGAGATCTCCGGGCGTCCTCCTCGTCCTCAGACGCGTCCCGCTCCTCGAAGTCGTCCATCCCGTTGTCCATGTACCCATCAACCCCATCGTCGACCACAAAGTCGTCCTTCGCTAATCTGCCAGCTACAACTGACTTGTATTGATCTTCCGTCACCTCGTCGTATTTAGTAGCATTCCCCGTCGCTATTATGACTATTGAGTTTACCTTCCATTGGCGCTTCCCACCCTCTCGTGTTCGTTTGAGCTCTGCAAGAGCAGCTAGTTTAGAGTTTCTGGACATGAGGGAGGAGCGATGTGGGCGTGCAAGCGAGAGATGTGGCTTCTCGAAACTCGAGGTTCGCGTCGCGTGTTGCAATAAACGCGATCACGTGCAGAAACGCGCTTCGGAGTATTTCACGCATTTATGGCTGCTTGCGTTCTCTACGCCGTGAGATACACCTCGAACGGCAGAGGCTCCGCTATTCTAACTCAGCGTTGTCTACAGAACGACAAGAGAGACGTTGGCTGCCGACGACAAGCTCTGATGCCGAGTCTCTGGTCACTGGTGTTGAGTGGACTTGGGCTCAACCAGATGTATACAACAATGAGGTACATTATTCAACATCTTCTTAGTTGGGTTCAGATTCTTCTCCGATGAGTAAGAACTCCGGTGATAGTAGGTCCCCCGTTCCTGCTTCTACATGAAGAGAGCATGTTGTCAATTACTAAGATTAGTAAGGTAGAGTAGTACTGCCAGAATCGACGCGAATCTGCCGGACACGCGGCAAGCCACGTCGTAAGTGTGCCCCCCGGCGAACTTGACCTGAAGCCGCCACGCCGTCATCTTCTAGCCAATCTCTCACAGGGCTGACAGCGCAGGGCCTATCTCCTGTGCCGACGTATGGGGAGAGAGAAGCACGTAGTCTGCGAGGGATGACATAGACGCGATAGCGTGAGAAGCGAGGAGGTGCGCGCGCGCGCTCCGATTTTTCTAACGCTCTGACCGCCACCGTGTAGGAAGGCTTATCCGCGCCACTTCCATGCATTCCCACCTGCGCATTGTTCTGCATACATATAACTCTGGATACGGAATAACGGCTCAAATTGGACTTCTCTGCGGCCCGACGCTCGAGCGGAGAGCGATGGAGTCGCGCCGCGCACGAGGCGCGGGTCAGCCCGTCTTCACCTTGCCCATGAAGGCCGCATACCGTCTTTCTCAAGTCGCAGACTCAGACAGCAACTTCAAGAGAATAATGTCAATCCGTCCGCAACCAAACTTTGACTCGCTGGAGAAAGTATCAACGGCACTTTGTACTGCTATTAGTTGGTCTGGAATTCCCCCAAGTCCCTTCAAAGCTTGTTTTGATATCCCTTTCTGCCTTTACAGGTCATGTACTACTCGGACATCTGCATTGATGTCGTGTGATGTGGTCAGCCTATTCAAGGGTCGACTGCGAGCCCCGCCAAACCCGTGACTACGCACGATGTCCTAACAACGGAAGGGTACTTAATTCCTGTATCCTGCATTGCCCGACTGCGCATTTCACTTTATTTCTTTCACTATGCCGTTTCTGGCTGTTCAGCTCGGACAGATCGCTACGAGCAAGAGTCTGACCACAAATTGCTTGTCCTTGGTGGCAAGATCAGTGCTGTCAAGGAGTACCGCGCTTTCAACGCTCTCATGAGAGCGACAAGATTAAGGGGTCGGTTACCACCTGGATCATTGATACTTGCGCGAAGATACTTACGACCAACATCACTGCTATCATGACCCTAATAACCCCTCTCCCTTCTTTCCCACAACCTTCTATGTCTTCATTACAACTCTCCGTCATCTCGTATATCTCTCGTTCTCGCGCGTGGTGCTTTCGTGGCTTGCTACAATACATGCAGTTTTCTCCCCTCCGCGCCTATATACGCCTTCGAGTCGTTGCGTGACGCCTCCGCCGCGCCTCCATCTGCAGGTTCGCCGCTCGACCCTTTTCGTGACGGTACGCAGCCTCTTTTTCTGCCTCATCATTATTCTTCCTTCACTGTTCCCCCCTGTCGCGCGCAACGCTTGCGGGCGCCGAGGAACCTTTATCGGGCAGTTGACCATGGCCGAACAAGGTATGTAAGGTATCTGTCTTGATGTGCCACGTGCATTGTGCTACGTGCTTTGCATGATGGGTGTCATCAATCTCTACATTGCGGAGGGTTGCTCCGATGCTTGGCTTTTCTCTTCATCGCCCGCGCCTTCTACATCGTCACTTGTGCTCATCAATGCACCTCCCTGCTCAACCTCTGAACTCTCAGGAAACGAGCCTTGCAAAACCCTTCGAGTTCCGGGAATCCTCCCATTATCCACGTTCTACCTTGCTCTGGAAATGCGGACAGTTGCGCGCTGGCTTCCAGAGTCATTGGGTGCCACCGCGATAGGCCATAGCCGCCAAAGTATGTGCAAATCTGATAGTACAGCCTTGCCCACAACGCTGATAGACGAGTTGCTATTTCGTGTGTGTTCACTGCGCTGCAGATCCGTTGTATGGTCTGCGGCGTACGCGCGCTACCTGCCCCGCTCCCTGATCTGAGCTGCGATTCATCGGCGCACCGCTTCACACTGCTGAGACTCATGGCAATGTGCATATAAAGCACCTGCCTCTCACCCGTTTGTTGCGCTCGCGTCAAGTTCTTCATCATGCCTCTCGTGTCCGACGAGCCGTCCGCAGAGCTCATGGGATACGTGAACCTCATCGCCGCGCCGAACAGGGAACTTCTGCACAAGGCTCAGTTACATTGCATATCCAATGGCCATCTTTTGGAAAACCGTCCTGAGCTTGCTATTTTCGACGATACCCCAGACCGCGGAAGATACGTTGCGAAGGTTTGTTTGTAGAATGATCGCGATGTGTCTGATCATTGACGCTCCTGTAGTGCAGCAAATCGCACGCTCAGAACCCCGGCGAGTACGGCCCAGGTGCCCTCTGTACTTTCGTATCGGATGCCCTACCTGAAGAGGATCTAAGCTATATGCGGGGCCTGGACGTCTCTCCTAAAGATCTCATACAGTGTGTAGAGACGATAAGGGCGGATGTTCGGTCTCATCACATCGAGAAAGACATTGCGGCGGATGTCGATCATAAGCGTCGCATTCCCGTGCGAGACAAGTACACAACGGTCGTTCCTAACCAGCGCATTGGACGTTCAGAGGGATCTCGAGCCAGACGCGGGAATAACGCACCTCGCCCCATCAGCTCAACCATAGTGCTCGAGCGGATGATTAGCTCTTCATCCCGGCCTATGGTCACGGGTCGTCGGCAACCTACTCGGTTGATTACCTTCCAAATCGAAGTCCGGTTCTTCTTCAAGGTGAGGATATTTGGAGCTGAGATCAAACACAAGCTGAGCAACCACGTAGAATGATCAAGCACCGACTTCTATCTTCCTTCCTATAGGGTCGCAAGACGATTTTATACGAATGTCCGACTACGGTGCGCATTGGAAGACGCACGACATTGAGTTCGATGAGATCATTCTCGTCTTGGTCGTGGACCAGTCCACACATCTCCCAGTTTGGGAACCTGTTCGTCTGGGCGACTGGGTATCTGCCGTCCGGGTGGAGCCGCTGATTGCCAGACACTATGGCGTTGAACCTGCGCAGGAGCAAATGCTGGAGGTCTACCGGCATGCCTACAGAGGCTCATGTGAGTGGTACTGTGCTCCCACCGAGGCCGTCTTTATTGATCACGACGCACAGTAACGACTTCCGTCTGACCTGGCAACATCGCTACCCCTCCCGTGGCACGGTATCACTCGCTCGCGTATCCGTACAACCGTCATTAATGCCAACACGTTCGTTTATATCCCCGCAACCGAGACTCTGCGAAGCAATATTGGCTTTGGTTGGAGACCGCAACGACGGGCACCGCCGTAAGAGCCGGTAAAGGCCCATGAGTGTGATGAAACCAGATCGGGATAAACGTGAACAGCGATATGTTCACCTGCGTCATTTTGACCATCCCCCGCTCCTGAGCGTCATCCTGTTAGTCTCTGCGAGGCCGTCTAGTCTATGCAGGCTGGGACTGGGAAGTATCTCTGGT